ATATATACATACATACATACGTACAGGCATACATATATACATACACACAGTAAAACCTCCTGGAAAGGCCAAAAGACCATCTTTTGTGCTACCTCTTCTATTTACAACCACTTTTGAGAAGCACAGAATTTTTTCCATAGACTTTGTGTTGAAGAACTCCTTTAGGAGAGACCATCAAAACCTCTTCCAGTGACCTGGCAAATCTTTGCACCAAATGTGGAAAAAGTCAAATAAGGAAACATGAAAAATATCAAAGCAAATAAACAGATTAAAATGTATTCGAAATATTTGTGTGAGGCTCTAATTTAGAGAGCTCTTTTTGATGATGCAACCTTATGTTGCACTCGGAGTGCATTAAAGAAGATGCTATCAATGATTTATTTTTACATGGGAAAAAAAAGTTATTTTAGAAAAAACTAAGCATTTCAAACAAATATCTTCTTATTTATAGTAGCTAAATAATTTTATGATATGAAATTAAATCAAAACTTAAACAAAATCCATAATTGTTTGTTTATTTAAAATAGCTTTGACATCATTCATAATTGGTAAATTTGTTTTTGCGCTTAATTATATCAGTTGGAATTATTTTTATAGACCTTAAAATCTTTTCTAGACTCATAAAATCATGTACCTTTGATTACAATTTTGAAGTCAATGGAGGGAACCTCTAAGAACGAACAACCTCCTATTTATTATTATTACATTCCAACGACTATTTTAATGTGGAACAAAGAGTGGTTTCACTCTGTGTGTGTGTATATATATATATATATATACAGTCAGACTTCGATATATGGTCACCCAAAGGCACATCGCAAAAGTGACCCTATAAGCGGGGGGACATTTTAACCAATTCATTAGCAGCTCGTAACCTAGCACATAAATAGTACACATTATATGATTTTTTAAAAATGGTAATACAAACGAAAACGATCGTCCCTAGATTAAATATTTAAGTCAATAAATTTTAACAGTATTAGTAAAGAATTAAAGAAAGTTAGATTTTTTGAAAATTTTTTAATTTAAAATAAAGCTGTTTACGAATTTCCTGAAAGTGTACATACATACATTACATCTTCCCTTACTTAAAATAATCATTTATGCAGGTCTGTCTCGTTTTTGGTTTCATTTTTCGAACAATATTTTCTAGATTTTGTATCTTTTAAATGTTCCTCAGCTCCCTCATGGTTTGTAAAAAAATTTCGTATGACATTCATTGCTTTGAAGGCTTCCAGCTACAGTCTCAGGATCACTGTCATTCTCCTCACTGTCCACAACTTTTGAAACAATTTCAGAAATTATAGCTTCAGAAGTGGTAGCAATTTCCTCATCAATCAAACCATATTCAACCTCCCCTTCAATGGCATGGCCACGATTTTTCAGATCTTCCATCAGAACAGATAGAGGAATATCGTCTTCTTCGATTTCGTCATCCACGATATTCAGAGAACTCACAAAACCAGCATGACGAAAACAATTGGAACTGGAGAGTGGAAACTCTCTCCAGGTCCAGGTGTGTTCGTTAGCTGCAACATTTTCCCAGAACTCAAGAGGAGTAATTGCCTTGTAAGGAAGTTAAATAGGCTTTTGTTAGAAAAGAGCTCCCCTCGTCTCAAATAAAAATGACCTTATAAGCGATAATGATTTTTAAACTTGACCATATACAGTGTATTCATCTCAGAAAAAAAATGGGTGAGAATTTCTCACCCTTTCTCCAAAACAGGGTGAGATTTCAAAAAATTAAGTGAGATTTCAAAAATTAAAAAAAAAAAAAAGAAAAAAAGTGCAAGTAGACTTGAAAAAAAAATCATTTCTTTAATTATAATGCATTTTTAACATCTTCTAATTTTTAAAGCATTGAATATTTTTGCTGCATCATCATATGGAAAATGTTCTACATCTACTTTTCATCAGCTATTCTCATTAGGTTGCTCAAATGCGTATTTGTTTCGTTTTGATCGTTTCTACCCACATTTGTTTCATTTTCATTTGTCCGTTTCGGAGTAGAAGATATTGGCTTTACAAGGTATTTGTCCATCTTACATTAACGAGCAAAAAATTTGAACGTCTTACATGAAGAAACCTTACCTACGGTAAACACGTGGTTGCAGAGAAATGCGTTCTGAAAGAGGTTCCGTGGTTCGGAAGGATGGTGTTCTGTTGTTCTTAAAGGTTCTGAACAATACTGGTAAATAGGGAAGCTAGATAATGGGGCAGATGTTGAAAATAATAAAAGATCCAGGAAGAAAAGTGAAACGGATTTTATTCTAAATGGCGCAAATGAGAAATTTTTTTCAAAATGCGAGAAATTCGCGAATTTTGAAATTGGTTTATAGAATGCGCGAATTTCTCGCGGTAATCATTTTTTAATGCGAGAATATAAAAAAATATGCGAGATTCTCGCGTTCTCGCGCTGTAGTGAAAACACTGAAATATATCCAATAATCTGTAACAAAGAATTCCTATTCAGTGAGCCGAGACTTTGGAAAAGTGACCTTATCTGCGGCCCCTCAAATTTCCCCCCTTTTAATCAATAATTTATTTATTAAAATTTTCTTTTATATATATACACTCAGACCTCGATACAAGGTCATCCTCATAGAAGGTCACCCCGCAGACTGCGGGGTGACCTTCTATGAGGATAACCATGTTCCAATTGAGGCACCATGTTCCAATTGAAAAAGCATGTTTTTTCATTTTCGGTTAAATTTTAATTGTTAAAAGTCTTTTCTTTTCTGCAAATTACTAAGTTTACTGATAACAAAATTTAGTTCTCAGAACACTAATGTTTACACAAAAATTATCATATTTGATGCACACATAAATAATATATTTGTCAACTTAACCAAGCATACATGCGTCCCATCTTGAGTAAACCTGCTGTGCAAGGGGCCCTTCACCGAAAAAGGTTGTGCAGCCCTAGGTTATGATACTAATATGATTATAGATTGTTCATATCACTACTCTCCTGACTAAACTATTGCTTCTCACATTTTGACACATAAAACATTTTTGTTGCTTATAATATGGTTTGCTCAAGTTAAATAGCTTATTTAAGACAGTCTCTTAAACCATTCATATCAAAAGTTATTAAGGTATTTCTTCATGTTTTGCACTCTGCAAATACTATTTATAAATAAAATTTTATGCACACTCAAAAAAATAAGTGGATCACCCTAAATAACTTTAAATTTATTGAAAAAATCTTCACAGTCTAGGATTCAATGGTTTGAGCAGTGACCTCAAATATGCTAACTAGTTAATGCAAATGATATTTTAAGTTCTTGAACCAGACACAAGAATGTACTTTCTCTGAATAAACATAACTTTTTTGTTGTTGACAAATTGGGATTTCTGACCCGAGAAATATTGGGGGGTGGCTGCAATCTGGAATTTATGGTTCCTATAGTTTTCTCAAGAAAGTGATCCAAAGTTTGGCCGCCTTCATGCTAATTTGTGTATTTCGCCATATAAATATTTTGCGTATTTCGCCATATTTTTAGCACTTTTTAAGCAAATCAAAAAGTTTTAGCACACAATTATGAAATTTGTTTCGCCAGACATAATTCCATTCAGAAAATAACTTTTAGTTAATATTTCTTATTTTATTTAATAATAATTGGAAGAATTTAGAGTTGTAAGGTATTCAAATTTTCAAATTTTTTAAACAATGTAATTTTACATGGCAAAATATAAAATTTGAACGAACGCTGTCAAATAGTTCCTGAGTAATCAAATTTTAAAATAGTCATACATTAAAATTTTTATTTCTCAAGAACTATTTGATGGATTTCGCTCAAATTTTGTATTTTGCCATCTGAAATTACATTCTTTAAAATAATGAAAAAATTGTATACCACCTAATTCAATTTTTTTCAGCTATATTAAATAAAATAATAAAAAATAATTAATATTTACTAAAAGTTATTTTTTGAATGGAGTTATTCTTGGATAAACAGATTTGATAATTGTATGCAAAAATTTTTTAAAAAGTTATCAAAATATGGCAAAAAGTAAAATTAGCATTAAGGGATCAAAACTTAGTACCATTCTGCTGACCATACTTTGGGGGCCATGTTTTGCTGATTGTGACTACCGTCTATACTTTGGGGGTCCGAAATCCGAATCCACAGAAAAAAAGATATGCTTATTCAGAGAAAGTACCCTTTTTTTGTCTGATTTTGTAACTTATGTCGTCTGCACTAATCAATTAGCATATTTGAGATCATTCTCTTGAACCATTAAGATTGAGTCCGAGAACGTGAATGGCCATAAGTTCAAAAGTAATTCAGGATGGTCTATTTTTTTGTACTCTGTACATTATTTTATTATTATGTTCTAATCTAATAATGCATTCTACATGTAAATACTGACTCTTAATTTATCTCAATGTTTTTTACATTTTATGTTTAGAAGTTCCTACTTTGTTATATATTAAATTTTCTTTATTTGCATAGAGTTTACTTGCAAAATTTGAATTTAGTAAATTTCCAATCTTGAATAAATATGATTCTTTACCAGTATGTTTGGGTGGCCTTTCTCTCTTTTACTTTTAGTAACTATTTTAGCTTAAGTAGCCTAAAATATAGTTTTCAGAATTCTTATTATTAGTTATTTATCTTATTCTAATACTAACTTAACTTTTTTACAAAAAAAAAAATAAATTACACTAATGTAGTTTCAGAAAAGACTAATATGTATGTATGTATGTCATTTATTTATATTCATTATGGTCTACCAAGACTGCATAATAATGATTCTATTTCTTTAGATACAACCAGTGCATTGGGCCGTACTCTTTTGTTGATTGCAATTTGCTCAGTTGTTTTATTTGGACTAGCCATATTCATGCTCAAATTGTTCAGGAAGAAGCCAAAGGTAAATTATGAATTTGTCATAAACTTTTTGAGAATGAACTTAATTTTGCAAATATTCTGATGTATTTTTATGTAGGTTAAAATATTAAGGTTTCTTAATAATTATGGCCAACCTTCTTGTTCTGTGTTTTAATAGCCAATTATTGCTCTCAGTTGGTCAATGGATTATTTCACTTCTGTCCAGCTTCTCCATACTTCCTTCCAATATTTTTCCATATTAACATGGGATTTTGTTTAATCATCCACACTGTATTTTGTTAGTGGAAAACATTCTTTCCGCTGCTCGTGCCGTTATTTGTAAGCAATGCTTGATATGTCTTCTTATAAAAATCAAAGTTTCATATAATTTTTGGACAAAATATTTTAAAAATTTTTTTAATCATCAGTCACAACAATTATTCAGTTTTTTAAAAAAATTTTTATTGTTAAAAAAAAAGTAAGTACAAGATATCCGCGCACCTGGAAAGTCATGAAAAATCAGGGAAAGTCATGAATTTAGGTATTGATCAAAATTTGTCATGAATTTAACTATTTTTTTAAAAAAATCATGGATTTAGGTCGTCGGAAAATTTTATTTTTAAAATGGAATCCCTCCCCAATTTCATGGTGTTACGAATATCTGAATTTGTAACAAAATCCCCACTCTGAGTCATATTTTATAAAAATATAAAAAGTTTTTATCGTTTTCTTTAAAAATTATGCTGTTCTTTCGAAAAAAGAAAGAAAAAACATCATTTCTAGAGTGAAGTATCTTTTAAACTTATGTGATTTCAGGATTATTATTATTCACTTTTTTTTTATTTTATCAATTTAAAATTCTAGCTGAAGCAAGCCAGTCATTGGCAAACCTTTTTAATTCCAAATGAGAGCAGAAAAATCAGGAGTATTTCTTTCCTTTCTGATGAACAAGAAAAGTATCTTTAGAATATAATTCAGCAGAAAAAAAGAAAAAAAAATTATTTGCTCAGCTGTTGTTTTTTCAGCTATTTTATTGCTTCAACTATTTCTTTACTCTGTCTTTTAAATTTAGAATCAATAAATATGAAGATGCAAAATATAACAGTTTTGGTTTTACCTATCATTTTAATTAATGTTATTATAATGCTTTTTAAATTTATTATTCTGTTTTTGTCTGAGAAAATAGTAACTTTGTGAAGTCTTGAAAAGTTCTTGGAATTAGACATGGAAAGTCATGAATTTACAAATATAAGATGTAGCAGATACCCTGTAAGAAGTTGTCAAAATTCAGATGGTTAATTTGTTTGGTTGATTGCCATGTAACAGCTGCAATGGTAAACTTTTTACCATTGTATTAAATATGGCAGTTTTTGTCTTTAACTTTCAATTATTTGATCACTGAACGTAGTTCATTTTTTTAAAAACAATTTTGTATTTTCTAAATCCTTGTGGTTGCTTTAGCATTCATTCCCTGTTTACCACCAAGTGTTGTTCTGAGGTACGTAAATCTGCAAACATCCTCTTTTTAGGTGCTTGTTCAGTTTTCCCATTGTTTTACCTTTGTTTTTATTAAGTTTCAACAAAAAGTTATCTGCACACTCTAAATCATTTAATAATATTGTAAATTTTAATCCTATTCTTATTTTTAAATCTTTGTTTTCCTAGTTATCCTATCAAGTATTAGAGTCAAAGACTCAAAGGAATATTTTTTTAAAAAAAGTACTCTTGTTATTGCTAAAAAATTATTACATTTAATTTTTATTAGACTAAAGGTCGCACTTTTGTTTATCTATTATTTAGGCTTTTCAGAAAGATTGCAAGAGTTATAAATGATATCTGCTTGACTTGTTAAAAGTTTTTTAAAGCATTAAATAATATTTTCATTGGTTTATTTTAATATCTTTTACTGCAGTAATATGTTATTTCTAAAACATTTCTGAACATGCATGAAATGTATTGTGATTTTAGTGTGGTCCATAGCTTTTTAGTGGATTTAAATTAAATATACCATATTTTGAATAAAAGTTGAATCTTAAAAATTGATTTTCACATGATTTATTTTCAATTATTTACCTGTGATCATATTTCACTAAATTTTTTAATTTTCGATTGTAAGTATATTTTTAACTCTATTATAGAATACAACAATATTATAGAATACAACAATTAGAAAAATATACCCTTATCATTTCTAAAAGGGATCACCATGCATAAAAGGCATTGACATATATAAAAATAAATCTAAAAATGTCAAAGATGTGAAAACTGCAATCAAAAATATATATTCTAGTTTTTGGCCGGGGGAAAAAATGAAGCTATTTATTTTGTGCAAGTCTCCTCCCTCCCTCTGAAGTCTTTGTTCAAAAAGCTATTTCAGATTTTTAAGAATAAAGTTTTGAAAACTTACTCTTGGACTTAAAGAGTAATTTTTTTTATTTTTTTATCACCTGTTATGTAAATAGGAAAAAAGTATTAATTAATTTAGACAGAGCGAAAATTAAATCATTATTAAATAACAATTTTGTATTTCAAATATAAATTTATCATTCATTTCCATTGTTCTAATTTTTCATACTTATATATTTATGTTTTTACAAACATCTTGATGAGTTAAACAAATATTAAAGGATCATATTTCTTTATGTAGTGTGTGGGTTATCCTTCTGGTGTTGCTGATGTCCACCCTTCCATGTTGCCCATTCTAGTCTCTGCAGACAGAATCAGACTGACCGCTGTCTTGGGAAGGGGAGCTTTTGGGGTCGTCCACAGGGGGGTGCTTATGAGGGGGAGCAGGAAGAGTGAAGAGGAGGTGGTTGCAGTGAAAGTGTTACCTTGTGAGTATTGACTACTAGTTTTATTTAATGAATTTTTTACCTTTTATAAGTTACCAGGCACCTACACATACTCTCCTCTTTGTGCCTGTTTTGGTTAAAACATTACTGTCTATCAGGTATATCTCTGTGATATAAAATATCTAAATGAATCTTTTCTCATCATTTCCCCAAAATGAGCACACGAACCAAATTTGAAGATTCTATCTTCGTAAAACTAATTACTCCCATAATATCAAAATCAGAATTTTTTTAAATATCTGATTAACCCATGCACAGTGGGGCCAACATCCAAAGTTTCGTGGCTAAAATTAGTATTTCGATAAAATTTGTTTCAAGATTTGGGGTTTTTATTTAGGGTTTTTTATGTGCAGGTAAATTGAATTCATAGTTGAAATTTTGAAATACACTAAAAATACCTCCCCAAAAAAATGGCGGTTGAAATATGGCGAGCAAAAATAAAAAAATAATATAGTATGTTTACATAATTAAATATAGCAATGAAAATGTAATAATTTTCGTAATTTTATATTAAAAAGGAAAAGGAAATTATATTTCCGAAGTAATATTACAAAATAATGCGAAAATAAGAAAAAAAGGATACTTTTTGTTTTTTGGTATATTTAGTCCCTCTTTGCAATACGGGCATAATGGGGCAGGTTTTTTCGAAAGAAGAAACATCAAAGAAGATAACAAAAAAAAAAAGTTTAGCTAATTACCTCGTGGAACTTTTTGGAACTAATTTTCGAAAGTCATTCAAACATTGTAAAATGTAAAATGATAAGATATAAACTATAAGTTTGTCAGGAGTATTAACTAATCCAACAAATTGAAAAATTGTACTATAATTTCAGACTAATTACTCTGATAAAAATGTAACAGTAAGGTGAAATTCCTATATATATTTCTGAAATAAAAATTTAAAAGTTACATTAAAAAAATTTTTTTAAGCATATTTTTCATTACATTGTATTCTTGTCAGTTCAAAAAGTAAATTATAATGTTTGGAATGATTATGAATACTTAATTTGGGCTATATTAAAACTGCCTACACATATTTTAGTTGAAAATTGAATTTTTCACTTTTGGCCAATGATCTTGGTCTTCTGACCCACAGTGCCATAGTGCAAATCCGTGGTTCTTGATAAAAATGTTTTAAAGCATTTTCTATTAATTTTGTAAGGAAAACATCAGCCAAAATTGTGACTTCAAGCGACTTAATGATATTTTATAAATTGTGGGAACATTAAGTTATCAGATTTATGATAGCTAATTTCTAATACCATGATGACAGCAATCATTTCACCAGTTACAATTGACAGTGGAAAGAAAATTGTCATTTTAGTATGTGAATTTGTAAAGCTGAGAAATGAACATGTGATAACTTTAGAAATGCTAATTTAAAGATGGATTGTGCAAATGGAAAATATTAAAAATGACAGATTGTTTGTTTTTAAATATATATTTGTGCATGTGTATAGCAAATATCACTGATGTTATTTTTAAAATATTTGACAAAGCTGGTTTGTTAATAGTTTGATTTAAAACAATGGTTTCCGCTAAACCAATGAGGAAAAATTCCATTTTTTAAATGTCTCTGATTTAAGAATCAAATTTAAAAATCAGGCTTCATAAATTACTTACAATTGTAAATATATAGCTTCATGCTGAATGTCGTATTTTTAGTGGCAAAGATATTTTCCACAATTCAGACGCACACAAATTCTTTATTTTAATATATGTATAGATTTCATGATTGCATGCTATTTAAAGAAAAAAAAAGTTGGCTTATCCATTTTTAACTGGCTGCATGTTTTTCAAAAGAGGAAGCAATTTACTTCTATGGGATGTAAAATAGTAGCATATAATAGAATGTAGAGTAAAAGAAATCTCGTTACTGGCCTGTAGTTTCATTTTCAATGTTGGTAACTTTTGAAAACGTGGCTACTTAATCGAAAATTCTAAAAATATTAATAATAATAATGCAAATCATTTCTTTCAAAGTGTTTACTTTTCTAGCTTAAACAAAAAATTTCCTGGCGTCTCTAAGATTTATGTAAAACTTAAGTATTGTAAATAACGTTTTCAACAAATAAAAGTTAGCGTTTGAGCCTTTGATCTAATAATGCAACATAAAGTACGAAATATAAGATACATTTATTACAAAATAAATCAGAAATGACTGTAACATAAAGATTAAGTTATATTGATTAGAATACTTCCAAATATTATTGGGAATATTTTTTAAAAAAGTATGTATGATTTAGAACTAAATCAAAGTTTTCTCCCTAAAATTTTGAACTAGTATATGATACACTTTTGAAAAATTAAGATGCGATGCTGCTTACTCACTTGAAAAAAGTTTTAATTGAGGCATTTGTCATGCTGTTGTCAAAGCATGCATTGTCATGCCGTTGTTGTTTCATTAAGTAATTTGTAATGAAAAGCTCATTACAAATTACTTACTGGTACAATGCATTATTTTTTTACGTTGCTGTTGTCAAAGATTTTGTATTCTACAGTCATAGAATATCTGTTGTCGGAACAATATTTCAACCTTGGTTTAAATCTCATTATTGTGAAAGTTTTTCCCCGCAAGATGTTTTTTCAAGTAAAGGAATGAACGAAAGTAGCTGGGTGTGACTATTCTTAAAATTCGTTATTCGAAACAATTATAATTCAAATTGCTTATGTTAGTATTATAAAATATAAATGTCATTTAAAGTTGCATAAAATAAATCTATACAAATAAAAAAAAATTATACAAAAGCTATAATATTTTGTTCCTTTCGAAAAAAATCTGTATTTGAAGACTTTTGTACCCATTTTGTCAATTTATCGAAATCCGATTTTACCTTTCTTTTTTAGTAAGACTTTCATGACTTGTGTATTCCTTTGTAATACTTTCAATTTTTTTTCTTCAAAATTTGATAAATTCCAAATTAATTTACTATTTTAGTTTCGGATTTTAGAAATTTATTTCTTGCAAAACCTCAATTTTTTTTCTTTTTCGATTGCTTCAAATCATTCCTTTTCACACTCGCTTCTTTATCCAGTTGACCAAGGAATGGAAATAACAAACATCCATTTAATTTTGTTCGTATAAGCTGGGTTATTTGATACTAAAAGAAAAAAAGAAATTTTTTAAAAATTCTGAATAGATAAAACTTCTTTGAAAAAAATGTCCTTGATAGCAGCAGAAATTTCAGAAAAAGGTAAGTGTAGCAATAAAGGAAATAAAAATATGACCACCGAAGCCGACGTCTTCAGGGGGTACCGGCCCCGGTAGCCATAAAACAAAACCTTTTCTATTAAGGGAGAGGCAAATGCCTAAAGTAACTCCCTCAGTACCCCCGAAGGTTTTGTATAGAAGTCTAGGAAAAAACATGAAATACATAGAACCAATTTAGAAAAGAAGCTCAAACAAAATCATCAGAAAATAAAAACTCACTTTAACCAGGTCAAACAGCGATTTCACAAGCAAACCGAATGAAAAGGAAACACTTAAAACTAAAGAAAACAACTCCCTCTATTACAATGCGTTGATTGAAAAAAAAAGAAGAGAAGTCAAGGAAAAGATACGTAACATATTAATAGAATGCTTAACTGGGGCTGCTCAGTTAAGACTTGAATTGCACCCTGTTAAAAGAAAAAAATATAAAAAAACTAGAATTCCTCATTTTCTTAATAAAAAAATTAGGTTTACAAAAATTAAAGGGAAAATCATTATCACTCAAATTATTCAAGAAATTATTCACAGCTTCCCGAAAACTTTCAACATTATACTATTGTGAAAAAAACAAATTTTTAAAAAAATTTTATTACACAAATTAGTATTAAAGTTGCAGAAAAAAATAACTGCAAATTTAAAAGCTTTTCTTTTATCAAAAACATTGCTAAGTTACCCCAGATTATTCATGGTCTTTCTGATTTTTTCCCTTTAAAGCAAATTAAGGTTTCTGCTGCTTATAAATATTCTTTTACGCTTAGAAAAAAGGCGTGCAACTATAATTATAATTTTTTAAGTCGAAATCTAAATTGTATTTCTAAATTTGATTGTTATTGTAATAAAAAGGATTTTTCACAATATATTGATAATGATTATGGACATGTTATTACGGGAAATTTGGAGATTGTTGGTGATCAAGATTTAATCAATATTTTAAGTAAAGGTTCAAAATTTAGGACAAGAGTTAAAATGAATAAAGAAGATTTTATTTTATCTATTAAAAAGGATCTTGATTTTTTTTATAACAAAAATTTCCAGAAAATATCATTGGCCTGTTGAGGGTTTTTCAGAGTGGAAGGTTAAAATTATTGAAAAGGTTAAATTTAATTTATTTAATACCAGTTTTAGTTCATTTCCTAGTGGTACTTATATTGATTATGATTTATCTAGGAATATTAAAAATCTTAAAGATAATAAATCTTAAATTTATTGTTACTGTAGTGGATAAAGCTTCAAATAATTTTTGTGTTATGTGTAAATATTTTTTAAAAAAATTGATTATTGGAGAATATATTGCAAATAATACTTTTTTAAAATTAAAAGAAGATAAAAAAGTTATTGAAAAAAGAATTATTGCATTTAGTAAAAAATTAAAATTTAGGTTAAATAGGATTAAATTTCCATATTTATTTCATATTGTTAAATTTCATAAAAATACAATTAAATTTAGATTTATAGCGTGTGATACTAATTGTTACACTTCTGATGTTAGTAAAAGGTTTTTTAGTTTTCTAAAAATTATTTTGCTTAAAATTAAAATAGAGAAAAATATTGTTATAAATAGTAATGTTGAAGTTTTAGATTATATTAATAATAATGACATTTCCAACATTAATACTTTTGATTTCAAAAATTTGTATACAAGTATACCTCATGAAAAGATTATTGAGATTTGTGAAGGCATTTATGATAGGTATTTATTTAATGTGAAAATTGATAAGTCTAATTGGTTGTATTTATGTAATTTTAATCTTTTTGAGAATGTTCTTTTTAATGGTTTAGATTTTTATAAACAAATTATTGGAATTTCACAAGGTAATTCCTTTTCTGGTGCTTTTGCTAATATTTTTTTGCATTTTTTGAAGCTGAATTTCTTGAGCATAATGAATTTAATGCCTTTAGATATATAGATGATTTGATTTTGTTTAATTGTGATAATTATAATTTTATTTATAGTATTTATCCTAAAGATTTGGTTTTGAAGAAAACTAATGAGAATTGTTTAAATGTTGAATATTTAGATTTTAAAATTGATATGGTTGACAATTTTATTAAAATTAGTGTTTTTGATAAAAGAAAAGCTTTTAAATTTAAAGTTATTTTTTTCTGCAACTTTAATACTCCTCCTTCTCCTTCTTTATCCCCAAAGTTAGCAGGGCTAAACAATGTCCATGAAACTCATGACACGGAGGAAGTCGACCACCAAAAGTGGGTTATTCAGAATATCCCCTTTGTCCAGACCAAGACAGTTCAGGATATGTTGGGGAGAAGCCTGCATGTTGTGGCACCTGGGGCAGTTTGGGTAGGTTTTAACACTGCCCTCGAAAGAAAGGGACTTAAGATGACCGCTGATAAGCCTGGTAAGTGCCGTCTGTTCCTTGCGATTGCACCGAATGTTGAGTGCTCTCCTGGACGGGTGCTCTGGTACCAGTGATGTTTGGGGGGTATGAGCCAGGAAACATTGACTTCTTTTTTCTTTTTTGATGCCAGTTCCATGAAGGTGAGTGAACTTGGACTCATCAAAGCTTCTTCTGTCCCCTCCTTACCCAGCGTGTCGGCGATGTCATTGCCCAGTACCCCAACGTGAGAAGGGATCCATTGGAGGTGGACTTCACGCAATCGTGAGAGGATTTTAAGTTTGTGCAGTATTGAAGCTCCTGTTTTGTCTCTCACCTTCCACCAATGCGATAAGTACTGTATGGAACTGAGACTGTCAGAGAGTATCCAGATGTTATTGTGATCCTGCAGTTTTAGAAGAGAATCCAGAGCAGTATCAATAGCAATGAGTTCACTTCTAAAAACTGAGCAGTAATCAGGATTCCTTTTGGAGATGTTAAGGGAGTAATTACTTGATTTAATGTAGACACCGCTGCCAGATGATGATGTGTCCGTCTTGCTTCCGTCTGTGTACTCCAGTATTGAGTGTTTGGGGATGGAATTTATAACCTCCAAAGCAAGTTGCTTAAGCAATACCGGGTGATCCAATTTCTTGTTAACTTGTGATGAAAGGTGTTGATGGAAATAAACACCAGGAAGTCCTTCAGTTGGGTCAATAATTTGTTTATTAAGGCAATCCTGAACATTACCAGCAAGAACGTTGTTAACTACGGTCTGGCTAAATGGGCTATTCTTCTTTAGTCTTTGGTTGCTGCTCCACCTTTGTAGATAATCTGCTGTTCTGTTTTGGTGTCCAAGACTAGAGAGCTTGTTGAAGTATTTAGTTAGGAGATAATTTCTTCTGAGACCTAGGGGCTGGAGGTCGGCCTAAAACCAGATGATGTCATTTGGGCAACTGTTTCTTAGTCCAGTAATAATGCGAGCAGCAGAAAGCTGGACTCGTTCAAGACGTTGAAGGTTTGAAGCAGATGCACAGCTATAAACTGGTGCTCCATATTCCAGGATTGGTCTGATGGGAGCAAGATATGTGGCTCTTAAGATGGTAGCGTCAGCACCCCAATCTCGTCCAGCAATGTACTTTAAGATTTTAAGTCTCTTCCTACTTTTCAACACTAAGTTGTTCATATGCTTATTGTTGGTGAGTTCAGGATCTAAAATGAAGCCCAAGTAACTGGGGTTCTTTAATACTAATTTGTGTAATAAAATTTTTAAAAATTTGGTTTTTTCACACTTGGTTAGGATTAAAAATATTTGCAATAATGTTGAAAGTTTTCGGGAAGCTGTGAATAATTTGAGTAATAATGATTTTCCTGTTAACTTTTGTAAAGTTAATTTTTTAATTAAGAAAATGATTGACGAATTCTAGTTTTTTATATTTTTCTTTTAACAGGGCGCAATTCAAGTCTTAACTGAGCAGCCCCAGTTAAGCATTCTATTAATATGTTACGTATCTTTTCCTTGACTTCTCTTTTTTTTCAATCTGCGCATTGTAATAGAGGGTGTTGTTTTCTTTAGTTTTAAGTGTTTCCTTTTCATTCGGTTTGCTTATGAAATCGCTGTTTGACCTGGTTAAAGTGAGTTTTTCTTTTCTGATGATTTTTTTGAGTTTCTTTTCAGAATTGGTTCTATGTATTTCATGTTTTTTCCTAAATTCTGTACAAAACCTTCGGGGGTACTGAGAAGTTACTTTAGACATTCGCCTCTCCCTTAATAGAAAAGGTTTTGTTTTATGGCTACCGGGGCTGGTACCCCCTGAAGACGTCTGCTTCGGTGGTCATATTTTTATTTCCTTCATTTCCTTTATTGCTACTGGGTTAGTTGATTATCCGATAAGTGGGGAATGACTGTACAAAGTATTTACTTATGCGAAAGTCATATGATTTTTTATTTTTATATCTATCTGTCTAATAGAGAATATGACAGAATTGCTTTCCATGATTGTGTCTTAGTGTGTACCCACAAAATGACACTTTAAAAATGATCCTTTCTTTAGCTTACAGCAGGATGAGACAGCAGCTTCTGCACGAGGTGGAGATGATGCACATTGTTGGCCGACACGAGAAGATTGTCGGATTGATGGGATTCTCACTTGACTTGGAGAAGACATTCTTGATCCTGGAATATTGCCCCATGGGAGACCTGCATTCTTACCTCGTTAGAAAAAAGCCAGAAGTATGCATTGCTTGGATAACAATTAATTATAAGACTTGTTCAATTAAAATATAATTTTTATCTTATAATAATTGACCACCATAAGAAACTGTTTTATTATGTTCACAATGTTGCATCACTATTGCAAATGTGATGTTTTACTTTATTACAAAAAAGTTCTAAATCAGATCATGGAGCTGTTGGCAAAACATATTTCTTATTGATAACTGTCTTATTTCAAAACAGAATAACTGAATACATACAGTAGAATGTTATTTACTTTCCCTAAGGCCTGTTCAGAACCATATGAAAGAACAGTTCATAATAGGGAAGCAACGTATGACAACATTTGGAAATTAGGAAAAGATGAGAAAACTTGCTTTTTAACGTTCGATAAATCTGTTTTGTGCTTTACGCTGCAAAGGCATTCCAGAATTTTTTATTTACAGTATAATCAGTAGCAGAAAATGTAATGCCTACAGTGTAGTTGCATTAACCATTCTTTACACTGAGAGAGAATAATTACCCTCTCCACGGAAATCTTCTTCTTTGTCAGATAAACTGGGAGGGAAAACAAAAAAAAAAAAATTCGGACAAACTTTTAAATAACATTACAAAAAACTCTAAATCTGTCATTTAATTTTAAGAATGGATGGATTATTTTTTCTTTAAATTGTTTATTATTGTTTGGCCTATAGCACTGTGCCATAGTCATAACATGTCTCAGACTTTTTGAATTTCTAAAGTTGGCAGGTCTGTATAGCNATAGTAGAGCATGACATCGAAGGGGGGACAGCCACAAAAAAACAACTATAAACATCAGCACACTAACTTCTGGCACATGATTGGAAAGGATAGGCCATCAGTGGAGGACTATGGACCGCTTCTTCAAATCACATTTGGCATTTTTCATGCCAAACTTTCGAGATGTAACCAAAACTCATGGAACCCGGGAGTGGGATGCCGCTGGAGTCATCTTTTCAAAAACATCTGCATGGCGAAGAAAGGATTTCATCACGGCCGAGCTCGACAGCTCACAAGCACCCATGGGGGTGTAAGAAAAGGATGTGTAACATCTCCGTCATGTATTCAAACAGACAAAAAAACTCCGTCTCTCCAAAGAGAGGAGGGGGTGAAAATTAAAAATCCCTGTTAAGGGATCGTAAGTTTGTGTTCACAAAAATTTCGAATGCTGCTCGCTCCCAGAAATGGGCGGTATTTAAAGAAATAGCTAGAAGTGGAAGTTAAACTCCCTAAAATGCAACATTAAAATTGCTTAAGGAGAGAACTGAAGTGAGTTAACTAACCCCTTAAATTTAAGCATAATTAAATACTAACGGCGACCGTACAGTAACTAAAAACAATTAAACTTCTTTTATAGGCTCCAAATGAAAATTTTACTTACAATTATGAAACAGCACACAAGAAAAATTTACTTACAATTTTATGAATCAAAACAGAAATTATTTAGAAAAATAATCGGTTAGTTTTGTTTGCTTACTTTTGGAAGCAATTGCCATTTCCATGCACATAGATTTCAGTCCATCTAATGAATTCAAATGAACATCAGTTACATTTGGTAATGCTGCAACAAAATCTTGCAAAGTGTTAATTAGCAATATGGCATTCTCGGGTGAAATTTGAGTCCTGTTTTGAGAACAGTCAGCTGCTTCTTCCTCATCACTTTGATCACCTGGGATAACTTCTGCTAAAATCTCTTCATCACTAGCACCACTGAAAACCAACACATCATTATCGAAATTTAAAAATTCATCTGCTTTAAATAGAAATGATGTATTAGATGATGCCGCATCAATGTCTCGTCAGTGTGTCACCCGTTTTTCTGACGAAGCTCTCTCCCTCCTACAATACCCCTTCACCCATTTCCACTGCTCTAATTTCCCCTAAAAGTGGCCTTTTTAAGAAACAGCGAAAGAATATTACATACAAAGGAGATGAAAAAAAAAAAAACATTTTGTTATCTCACATTTAGGCTCGATGGGGAGTCGTTTTCCAACGGTAGAAAAATCGGAATAGAAATATCAATTATCAAAAGAGGAAAAATTATCGTTGTAGACATGTTTAACTGAAAAGTGGTTATCGCTATAAACAGGTTAAAAATACATTGAGTAAATAGGAATTTCACCGGGACCTCAAGGAAATATCGCTATAGACAGGTTTATCGTTATAGACAGTATCGTTATACACAGGTTTCACTGTATTTATATNTCCATGAATATTCCCTTCTAATTACGGTGGACTGTATTATCGCTGGTAAGACCTAAATTTAGTAATTTTTCTAAATCTGGTAAATGCTAACATCGGAATACCACAAGAGAGAGAGCACCATTACAACCTTATGACAGCTTGTTTATTGCTACTCTGAGTGGTTACAAAAAGTTACTTTAGATGGCGCTGGAGTAAAGATACAACAAGTACCCTCAACATTAATTATTTTTAGTTTTAAGACAACATGACATGAGTTTTAAGACTTTTAAGTAACATTACAAAAAACTCTAATCTGTCATTTAATTTTAAGAATGGGTGGATTATTTTTTCTTTAAATTGTTTATTATTGTTTGGCCTATAACACTATGCCATAGTCATAACAAGTCTCAGATATGATGAAGGGTTTACAGTTAGCAATTGTAACTTAAGTTATCCATCTGTTTATAAATATACTTCTAATTTTCCAATGAATCTTATAAATATAAGTAGTGAATACATTTTTTTATATTTAATTCATACTTAGTAAAACTTTCATAATTAGTACACTCAACATTAATTATTTTTAGTTTTAAGAAGTCTCCAAACTTAACTACTAAAAGCATTATTTGGAAAATTATTTAAATAGGTTGTCTTAATCTTTTGTAATGAAAAGTTAGTAATGTTTCTGTAGCGTTAAAAGTCAGCTATGCCAGAAGTATAGTTGGTATATATTTCTAGTATAAGTATATTTCTAGTATAAGTTACCTAAAGAGTCAAATACATTTAATGTTTTTTTTTGATTGATTATAAGTTTTTAGTATTTATTTTCAAACTTCTTGTGCAATTTTTTTGTAATCTGTACTTTTTATTTTCAGCTTTTGCGCATGAAGAGTTTGCCCGCTATAACACCTGTTGGTAATTATTTTTGTTACCTTAAGGTTTAAGATTTCTCTTTTATTTTATTTTCATCAAAGTTTAATAAGCTTTGAACAGCAAATCAGTTTTTCTGGAATTTTTAATCAGTTTAAGTATTATTATTATTAATTAAATCAGTTTTAAGTAGTATTTCTGTTGCGTAAAAATTGCACTACATGCTAACTTTAGGGGACAACCTCTAGGGATCATTCCTTTTGTTTGAAAGTCAAACAAAAGTCATATTAGTGCATTGTTGTATTTATCGATCAGTATCACAAAGAAATTAGTACGAGAGACCAGCCAATACTCTGTACAAAAGTAATTTAATTTCTTCTCAATTTAAATTGAAAAATATTGTTAAAAAAATGTGGTTACTGAAACTTTACTATTAGAAAATTTTTAAGGGGGAATTTGGGGTACTTATTTATTTACTATTTTTACAAGTTAAAAACTAATCTTATACAATAGTTATTTTAAAATAATCTCTTTGTAATTTTTTTAATATTGGTCTAACTAACAATTTAACTAACTAACAAAATCATAAAATGAAAATTTTTTTTTTTTAAATTCAAAAAAGGTCTTTCATAAAAAATATTAGGTTTTGATTACAAAATATACTCATTACTATTTTAAATAGACTATGAAACTGTCAGATTGTCTCTTAACTATAAAAGATACTAATTTAGAGTCTTATAAGTAGTGTCATTTTAAATCAATCAACACAAGTGTCAAAAAACTTGAATTGAAATTGCTGAATACTTTCATAAAATCATTAATTTAAATTAAATTATATTTTATTTACTATAATTGTTGTTAATATAAACTTATATTGTTAAATTTGTAATTCAGAATGCATGTTTTGGAAGCTAAGCAAGTTTTGTAAAGCTATGCTTATTAGGAGTGCACGAAGATCGTATACACAGCCTCACGCATATTTAGTCATGTTATTGGCAAATATGATAAATTTATCTGAGCTTTAGTATTCTAAGCACTATATTTTTTATCGGTTAATATATTTTCAGTGTATTAAATACTTTTATTTGTTAGAATTTATTAAAAAAAGAAAGAACTAATACTGTTTTTTTTTATTTTTAAATTTCTATTCACTATACAGTAGAGAACCAATTATCCGGGATGCTCGGGACCATCGCTATCCCGGATATCTGAATTTCCCGGTTTTCTGGATCGACCAAAAAGTGTCGTTAATCGATGTTTTATCGAACCCGAAGTACAAGGAAAAAGTGTAATGCATAAAGTAAGAGAAAAAAGAAAGGTACTCCTAACTTTAAAAAGAAAAAAAAATGGTAGAAATATAACATTTAAAAGAATAAAAAAATTTGCAAGTTTAGACAAGAAAATCAAGTTTAAAAAATACAAAATTCTCATATTTATTTTTTAAAAATAATTACAATTCCTAAATTANGAAACTTTAAAGTTCTTTTTAAAATAAATTCTATGACAATGTATTAAAATATTTAGATTCTAAATACCCCATGGAAATGCATAAAACTCACTGAAAGAAACAAACAATGAAACAAAATAACTTGGCTGTATCTTAAATGGGCACAAATAAATTATACAGTCAAACCCCGCTATAGTGAACACGGTTTATAGTGAACTCTCGGATATAGTGAACAAAATGTTCGGTCCTGTGCCTTGCTATACACGTATAATGTTATTTTTTCTGGATATAGTGAACCAAAAAAGTGATGAAGTTGGATATAATGAACTTTTTTCTGTCTTCGGCTGAATTTTTAATGAATTTTTCCCCGCATTTTTTTTGGTAATAATTTTGAAATTTCTACTTCAAAATAAATACATATACCGATTTTTAAAACCATCTATGGAGGGGAATGAAGCAATAAGCATTTTTCCTTGTTTGCTTCTTTTATCTCACTTTCCCATCCCTAAACAAACCATGCAGATGTTTCCAACCCAGGCAGATGATGCACCTGTACGGTGTCAGTGGGATCAATATGCATTTTCTGTCACAGGGAATGAGTAATTATTTATTATTGGTCAAAGGGTTGGACACTAATATGTGTTGATAAGGCCCTCATTTCAACTCCTTTTTGCTCTCAGTTCAGTTAAAAAAAATCCTGCAAATAAAGGTTTCAAATTTAACTATGGTGAGCAGTAAACGTAAAACGTTGATGATAAAATGGACATAATCAGAAAAATTGAAAATGGATGCAATTAAGTTCATATTTGCAGGGAATATAAACTATCCAAATTTGCAGATTGTAACATATGGAAAAATAGGCAATTAATAATTTCTGCTCATGAAAAAAATTTAGATGACTGAAAAAAGTTGAGAAAAGCAGATCACAAGGATGTTGAAGATGTATTACACCCTGGGTTCACCAATCGAAGAAGTCGCAATCTTTCAGTATCTGGACAAATGTCGATGAATTTGCTAAGCGATTTCATGATACTACTTCCTTTATGTGCTCGAATGGAAGGTTAAACAGGTTTAAAAAGCGGAATAACAGAAATTTAGAAAAAATTATCTGAGAGTCGGGAAGTGTTTCCATATCTGATGTTGAGGATTGCTCATCAGCTAAAGATAACTAATTTTTTTTGTACTCAAGACGAGGAGTAATGAAAAATAACACATTTTTTGCTACTACATAATATTTTTTCAATCATTTATTTGAATAATGTGTAATAAAAGGGAGGAGTTTGTGAACCATTAGTGAAATTGCCTGCGTAACGGATATAGTGAACTCCCGGTTATAGTGAACCAAAATTTCGGTCCCTTGAAGGTTCACTATATTAAAACGTTTGACTGTATTAAAAAGTGATTATTAATATGAGTGATTAAAAATTCGTGAGTCATAAAAAAAGAATCATTTATAACAAATCTTGTTTAATGGTAAAAAAAAGAAAAAAACATTGTGGAAAATCCTTCTTATCATTCAAAGCTTTCTTTCCAAATTTACAAAAATTACTTAGAAAATAGCAAGAAATATTTAAAATTTTTAAGATATTTAAATCATATTTTTTTTTATAAATTACCAAATACGATTCAGAACAAAATTATGAAGAAACAATTTTTATATGTTTTCTGCAAATGTGCAGTATGAAAAGCTGATTTTAAATTCTTATATTCTACAAAATTTTTAATGAATTTTTTTTTTTTTGAATTTTAAAATATTTTTACTATTCATTAAAAATTATGCTAAAAATTTTGTTTATTTTTATTGAATATTTTTGCAGGTATACTAAAAAACCATAATGCAAAAAAATTATTATTTTTTTTAAACTTCTTTATTACCATGAAAATTTAAATTAGGTTTACAGAATTTTGTGCAGTTATTGCATATAAAAACCAAAGTAATTGATATAAAGGAACTAAGCAATGTAACATTACAAGCAATGTACATTACCTCAAACCTCTAAAATCTTTAAATTTTATTAATATGTATGAGAAATGGCATGACCTAAACACTTTTTAAGTTTTACAATTATTCTCTTAATATTTCTTGAGAAATATGAAAAAATGAGTTAGTATAAAAGTGTTTCCATAATTTTGCACAACCCCTGTATATATATCTATATATACATAAAATCTATACATTCATGCTTTGATGATAACTATATATTGTGAATGTATTCTTTTCTTTTTTGAATTCAGAATACAGTAAAATGTCTATAAAAAAGCTCCACTTAGGAAAAAGATTATGTCTCTACATTAATCAAGTTGCTGAAGGAATGGTGAGTGCTTTTTTTCTTATGAACATTGTAGCTATTCTTATTCACTAGACTTTAGTATATAAAATATAAGCATTTGACAGTAAAGGAGAATTAAATGGAGATTAAAAAATGATCTTTATATTTAGTAAACAACTCTTACCTAAGTGTGTATCTCGGTACTTTCCAGTCTAACCATTACACTAAGTGAAATAGTAATTACAAAACGATATGCTATATTTATTTGCACTGGTTAAAAAATCTCATCTTATAAAGAATAAAACTATATATCTATGTGTGTGTATATATATATATATATATATATATATATATATATA